ACAAATAAGAGAGTTGGACTAGAAGACCTCCAAAGCCCCTTCCAACTCTTGTTACTTTGTTATTCGGTCTAGTTTGGCTATATAGTCTCTTAATTTCTCAGCCAACCTTCTGGAGACCTCCCAGGTCCCTTCCCACTCTGTTCTGTTATTTGTCTCAAATAGCTCAGGGTCTCCTACGTGAGCAGCGGGTGGGACTAGATGACCTCCAAGGTCCCTTCCAACTCTCCTATTTGTCTAGAATAGTACAGGGTCTCCTGTTCGAGCAGCCGGTGGGACTAGATGACCTCCCAGGTCCCTTCCAACTCTGTTGTTCTGTTATTTGTCTCAAATAGCACAGGGTCTCCTGCGTGAGCAGGGGGTTGGACTAGAAGACCTCCCAGGTCCCTTCCCACTCTGCTATTCTGTTATTTGTCTATTATAGTACAGGGTCTCCTGTTCAAGCAGCGGGTGGGACTAGATGACCTCCCAGGTCCCTTCCAACTCAGTTATTCTGTTATTTGTCTAGAACAGTCTAGGATCTCCTGCTTGAGCAGGGGGTTGGACTAGATGACCTCCAAGGTCCCTTCCAACTCTCTTATTTGTCTGGAATAGCACAGGGTCTCCTGCGTGAGCAGGGGGTTGGACTAGAAGACCTCAAAGGTCCCTTCCCACTCTGCTATTCTGTTATTTGTCTATTATAGTACAGGATCTCCTGTTTGACCACCGGGTGGGACTAGATGACCTCTTAGGTCCCTTCTAACTCTGTTGTTCTGTTATTTGTCTAGAACAGTCTAGGATCTCCTGCTTGAGCAGGGGGTTGGACTAGATGACCTCCCAGGTCCCTTCCCACTCCGTTCTTCTGCTATTTCTATGAAGAAGAGGGCCAAGGGAACGCATAAGAGGCCCAGAGGAATGGTTCCTTAGGTGGGGGCAATGGACCCCAAGGGGATAATCTGGATGCATCCGGGGGGGGGGGGAGGATCAGGGAGCCCTGGATGATGGCTTGCTCCTGGGTCAAAGGTCACCTCTGGAAGTGGAGAATGGAGTCTGGTTTCCTTGGTGGGAGTCAGGATGTTACTTGAGTGGGGAAAAGGGTCAAACAGCTTAATATTAATGTAAATGGATGAAATCAATGAAGAGAAACCTCTGATCTGGAGGAAGGGAGGAAGAAGAGACGGCGTCTGCAGTCCTCGACTTACAACTTCTCAGTTAGTGACTGTTCCAAGTGACCACGGCGCTGGGGGAAAAGGGACTTCGGGGCCACGTTTCAGGCTTACGACTGCTGCAGCGTCGCTCTGCTCCCTGGATTTACATTAGGATGTTTGGCCACAGATTCATATATATGACGGACGGTCGTGGTCTCCTTTTTGCGACCTTCCGACAAGCCAAGTCCCCGGGGTGGAGCCAGATTTGCTTAACGACCATGTGACCAATTGAAGAATTGCAGCGATTCACTTAATAGCTGTGGGCTGTTGCCCCATGAGACAAAATGTCTCACTTAGCAACATCCATGTTTGGGCTCAGTTGTGGTCGTAAGTCAAGGACTGCCTGTATTTCCCTGGCTAAGCGAGACAGTGGTTACGTGAGTTTTGCCCCGTTTTACGACCTTTCTTGACACAGTCGTTAAGCGAATCATATTGACTTCTCTTGTCAGAAGGGCGCAAGAGGGGAATCCCGGGACCACCCCGGACGTTGCAAACGTCATAACTATAAGTCAGTGGCCAAGCATCTGAATTTCACTGCAATGGTTGTAAGAATGAGGACAAGCCATATGTCTCCTTTTTCAAATGTTGTCGTAACTTCAAACGGTCGCTAAATGAATGGTTATAAATCAAGGAGTTACAATTTCAACAGAGACCCACCCATCCCAGTCATAAAGCAGGCCAGTCACACGACTTGACCTCATTTTGCAACCTTTTCACGCTGGTCGTTAAGTGAATACCACAGTCATTAAGCGAACCAAGGCTTCACCGCAGGCGTGGTTTTTGCCCCAAATGCCAAGGAATGTGTGTTCATGGGAAATGGCCATAAATGTAGACGGGTTGCAAAGTGAGGACAATGACTGCAAAGAACTTTGAATCCAAGTCATACAGGTCCCCATTCTACAAGTGAAGGTCCTCGACTTACGACCACAATTGAGCCCGAGATTGATGTTGCTAAGCAAAACGCTTTGTTCAGCTAGTTTTGCCCCGTTTTACGACTTCTCTTGCCACCGTTGTTAAGCGAAACATTGCCTTTGTTAAGTTAGTCACCAGGTTGTTAAGTGAATCTGGATTCCCGTGGACCTGGGTCATCAGAAGGTCGTAAAAGCGGGGATCGTGTGATCCCATCTGGGATGCTGCGACCGTCATAAACACGAGTCAATTGTCAAGCGTCTGGATTTGAGCCCGTGACTGCGCGGAGGCAGCAGCGGTCGTAAGTGTGAAAAACGATGCGAAGTCCCTTTTTTTCCAGTGCCATTGTAACTTTGACACAGTCACTAAATGAACTATTGTAAGTCGAGGACTGCCTGTATTGGAAGCCCTTCAGAACTTCCAACGGTTGCTAAGCGACCGGTCATAAGTCGAGGACTGCCTGTATTGGATGTCCTTGAGAACTTCCAATGGTTGCTAAGCAACCAGTCGTAAGTCAAGGACTGCCTGTATTGGAAGCCTTTGAGAATTTCCAACGGTTGCTAAGCGACCGGTCGTAAGTCAAGGACTGCCTGTATTGGAAGCCTTTGAGAATTTCCAACGGTTGCTAAGCAACTGGTCGTATGTCAAGGACTGCCTGTATTGAATGTCCTTGAGAACTTCCAATGGTTGCTAAGCGACCGGTCATAAGTTGAGGACTGCCTGTATTGG